AGAGAGAGAGAGAGAGAGAGAGAGAAAGAGAGAGAGAGAGAGAGAGAGAGAGAAAGAGAGAGAGAAGGGGTGTGACAATACTATCAGCTACACTTGAATAAATAAGCATAGTAGAACTACGACAACAACATCATTACATATTATAATATGTTGATAGGCGGAAGTTCTTAGGCCGTAACAACACCTTTTAAATAGAGATACACGGGTACGTACACACGCAGACATAGCTTTCGTTTTGTTCTTAGGGTTGATGTACATACAAAAACAAAGTGCGAAAATATACTACGCTTTTACGTAAAGACATAAGAAAATAAGGACAGTGGGAAAAGAAGACAGATCATCTGATGAATTAATCGGTGAATGCAGTTGTGGTAGGAAACTGCTTCGGGGCGATAATAATACAGTGCTGAGTGTCTGGTTGGAAGGACAGACAAACTATAGAAAAACAACTACGTACTTTCAGCATCCCAGCGGAAAGATGGAAACACTCGATAAAACATTTCCTTACACGCGGAATCGAAACTCACACCTTCTACTGTACAGACATTGGTAAAGAACGCTGGGAACCTAGTATCAAAATCAAGTCATGTTTTGTTTTTTATGTTATCTAAATTTGACATTTTTACGCTTTTTTATAATAGAGTGTTTCACGGCAGCTAGCAACGGTAATAACTTGTGGGTCATTGCATGTATACTAATGAGCCAGAAATGACACCTTCATCAGGTGTCCCATTTGTTTGTTTTTTTCCCTCAGCACAACTCAGACTCATTCGCCCTCAAGTTCAAACAAACCAGACAAAGTATTTTCGAACTCACCTTTTTCAGCCATTTGTGCGGTGGCCGAATTTCGTGTTGATGATTTTACTGTGACTTATCTTCTAAGGTCATTTCGCTCCACTAGCTTTTCAAAATTCTATCTTCTCATTACATACTTTTCGAAATTTGACAATAAAAATTTTGATGATCATCACATGTCAAGCTTTTTCGAATGCAACTCTTTGAATATTTTGAGAGAGACTCCGAATAATCGTATGATTTTGATAAAGCAGATGCAACATTTGTTTTCTGACTTATGGTCTTAGTAACTCAAAGTAGCAAAAATGTCAAATTAAATTTTAAAATTTTACGGTAACGATTTGTCTACTAATGTATAAAAGCTGTCATCTTTTATCGTTTTTAATGTTCCTATCAAATGGAACTCTTATCGGTACCTGGGTGGATCTCAATTTACGAAATGATAATAAATAGTTTTCTCTATTAATAACAAAAATATTCCCCAGAAAATCTTTTGGTAAATTTCTTGTAGTTGGCTTAAAATTCTGAAATTTGAGACTGGGGATAATAATCTAAAGAATACCAACATACAAATAAAAAAGAAACAGGACAATGAAATAAGCAGAACAGTGTACACACAGTTTCGAGTTTCGTGCGTTTGAAAAAAATAAAAAATAAAAAAACAACAACAACCCGAACAAACAAATAAACAATCCCCCCAACAACCTCAAGAACCTACAGTTGTACAGCCCTAATAGTTTGGAGATGTGTAAAATAGAGAAATAGAAATTAGTCCTAGATACAGTTCAGCAGCTTTTGTTGACATACACTTCAGCATCTCGTTGGTAAATACCTATCCAAATTCTACAGAAAAAACATCGTTAGTCAGGGTTCTAGAAACCTTGTAAAACAGGCATTTGCAAAAAGAATATAGAGAGTGTAGAGCGTCGGGCTTGCTGGAGGTTGCCATAACTACGGACCAGAAACGGTCTCGCCATTTTGAATGTTGACTCATTAACAATCATTAACAGCCCTTGCTTGTGCAGTGTTCACCCTTTGTTTGGCATGGACTTCAAATGAATACAGCTTACAACGCATTCCCCGTGTATTGGACATGAAAGTATCATTGAGCAGCTCTACAGTTCTCTTGTGGGATAATTATGACGTTTTTACCCTAGTGAAGACCGGCGACAGTTGTATAATGGTTTTACATACACACGTTAAGGGAACACATTTTATCCCCGTCTTCCTTTTGCGATATAACTGGCCACACCGTCTTCGTTGGCCCTGGTAGTTAAAGCAGCCCATCTTCCATAATAAGATCTAAATTGTGTTCACCATCAACTAAACTATTTACTATAATCCGTAATCATGTAAACCATTATAAAAACGAATAATTTTGGGAAATCATTAAACATAACCGTACAAAACAAAACTAAACGATGAACAGAATTCCGTAACTAAAATCCAGACACTCAAAGAAATTGTACTGCTTTTTAGATACTTTCAAAGCTAATAATAATTGATGCTGAAAAGCGAAATGAGCAGAAAAAGAACTTGAGTCAAAATAGTTTAATAAACTAGCCAGAAAATAAAATAAAAACAGAAATATCTTTTCTTTTTCCTGGCTTAGAGGAAGTTAAACCCATTCGCCAATTAAGCCAAAAGAACATAAAAATGTACCAATTTAAAACTACCAGGGAAAATTGTACAAATCGAAAGGATG